CCCCCCCCCGCGGGGTCCCAAACACAAAAGAAAACCAATTGCAAGCAAAACTTTGACAACAGAAGAATTCCTAGAGAGGATTACTTACGAACATGGTATTCCAGTAAGATGGCTGTCTACACAGGCGGAACATGATGGTGTACATCCCAGATCGTGGCAAAGCACTCACAATCCAATTGATCATGTAGAAAACAACTAAATTCCCCCATATGGCAAGATGTTGCAATTTTGTAAAAGAGCTGCAGGCATCAGATAAATTATCGTAAATAAATGTGAATCATTTCCAGTTACAAGAGAAGTGGCGATATTAAACATACAACACCCAAAAAAAAGAGTGGATAGAAAGCTAGGTAAGAAATGAGCATTGGTTTGTCTCATAAAACGAGGAGAAACATTGGAAGATTTTGACAAGAGAGATGCTGAAGATAAATTCTAGCAGCGCAAATCAGAGTGGTGGTAACTTACTTGGTCTCTAATGTGACAACAAAGACCTGCAACCAAACGCACCCAGAGAGTGCCACCATTGAAACCTCCTCCAACTCGCTTTTCTCAAAGGCATATGAATGTATGGTTATTACAAACACAACGATTGCCTGACAGAACAACACTCACCACAATAAATACTCTGCATATAGGACAATCATTATTCATCAAAGTAAATATAGGAATGGCCAAGGCAGGAATGATGGCTATTTGCATAAGCTGCAGAAAACGAAATAAGGTTCTTCATGGTGTTGATGAAAAAAGCTTATCATCCGCCATGGGAAATGCAAATATCTCAAATTGTTCTAACTAATTTGTGCCATGAAACTAAGTATATATGAAGTTGGTTTTATGTATGTCTTGACACAAAAAAACAAGATGACGAGTCCAGAGTGCCTAGCACAATGCATTTTGTTATGATGCTTGCAATTTTACATGTGGTATGCTATTCTCTCACACAATCAATTTACTAATATTCAAAATAGCAAGGCTGGATGCCTCATATTTCTAGTAAGAGACAAAGGTACTGAAAGGCATGACCACATTCTGTGCTCGTACTTGATGGGTGTGAGTAACATGAAGCAAATCAGTATATCCTGGCCATAAAGCCTGTAGTTAGAGGTTATAACCCGATGTTTGTTAACTAAGCAGGACATCCCCAAACTCTTTCTAATCAAATCCTTTCCCCTTGACCTCGAAGGACAGGAACACCAGAATCATGGCAGATTTGCTTGGCTGGTGGGCTTCCCCGAAAGTAAACTTGACTACCTTAACTTCGCAGACTTTCTGAGTATACACTTTACTTTCATGTACTAGCCACAGTATTGCATGTATTATTTATGAATTTTTTGGTTTACCAGCTTTCCAAATCTAGGTTAGCTCGCTTCATCTCTTTAAACGGAGTTCTTCCCTTTTATTCTTGACTAGCTTATTGTCACATTTTTGGTAACATATTTTTAGGCTAGTAAAGAGTAAATTGGCACTTCATGTTGTTCCATTATCCTTTACTGAAATGGCTACAGCAGAAGCATCCAATATTAAAAACACAACATACTTTCCCTAGAACTGATAAAAGTTATTACTAGGAAGGGGTCTCGCAAGTATTCAACTGAAGGGTAAAACACTATATGAATTTACTACTGATATAATAAATATCAACATCCAAGCCACCCCAACACACAGTGCTACAAAGAATAATCAGCAACATTCTCATGGAAGTGCGACATCCAACTACGTCATCATGTTGACATTAGGGGTGTAAATGATACAAAACAACTCGCGAGCTACTCGAGAATGACTAGGTCAAAGCTCAGTCAACACTCAACTCGAATAGGCTCGGCTCGAGCTCGACTCGACATATTAACGAGTTGAGACAAGCTACCCAATACTCGACTCGAAAAGCTCGTTAGAGACTCGATCTAAATCTTTTTATATATAATTAGTTTTAAAATATAATTAGTTCTAAAATATAATCAGTTTTGATAATATAATTTGTAAAATACAAATAATAAAAATATCTTATATTTTTAGATATTTGAACAAAAATTATTTATTTTTTAACTATAAAAACTAATCAATTATTTTTTATTAAAATCATAAATAAAAAAGACAAAAAACTATAAAAGCGTTGGTGAAGTTGTCCCACATTGGAAGAGAGATGGTAAAGAAAGGGTGAAGAGATGTTATAAAAAGAGAGGGAGGTGAATAAAGTTTCAAACTTTGTCATTCTGATGAGGAAGTTTGAAGTGGATCTCTTTAGTTTTATAAAAACTATGAGAACACCTATAAGATGTAAAATTTATAAGAGAAGACCCTAAAATTTCATGAATTTCAGTGGGTGAGCTTGGTTCGAGCTTGATTCGAGTTTCAGTTCGAGCTCGAGCTCGAGTTCGAGTTTAAAAAATTGCAATCGAGTTCAAGTCGAGTTTATTTTAACTACTCACGAGCTTTCGAGTTCGAGCTTGAGAAATGGCTATTAAGTTCGAGTCGAGTATATCAATACTCGAGCTCGACTCGCATCATTTACACCCCTGGTTCACATCCAGTTTAGTTAACAAGGATAGGTACCAACATGAATAACCACTCGTCCGCAAGGAACAATTTACTTCAATTATTTGGCGATTTATAAATGCAACAAGCCCTTTATGAGTGTCCTAACCAATTTTCTTTTCTTATCATTGTTAGGGTTTTCGGTCGTATGTTTAAGTGAGTCTTGCCCTTTCCTCTTATGTTCAAGGTATAAATAATCTAAAGATGTTACCATGTATGATAGAACGAGCGCAACAGCCTACAAGTACATTGTTAGGATGGTTGTCCTGTGAAAGTTTGAAGGATAGTATACTAGTTTATAGATCAACATAGGTCTTCATCTTTTTTTAGAGAAGGAGATCGCTAGAAGCTTGTAGCATTGAACTAGAATTTCCACAAGACAAAATTAGAATCAACTTATGTGAAAGTTTTACACTAAAACCATGACTGCAAGAGAACAATGACGAAAATATAATTAAGAAACACCACTCACATGAAAGAGAGCTCGCCCAAACCATCCAGCAAATGTAGTAGGATTGAGAAGCCTATTCCAGAAAAATACTAATCCAGGTTAAACGAGAAGGAAACATGTTGTAAGCTCTCATTCACATTTCCTTGTAAACTACGACCAGGCATTAGTCATAAGAATCCTAACCTCCCTGCTTGGCAGTAATATAATATTTGTGGATGCTGCATAACAGTTTTTTCACTGAGATCTTTGTCAAGGACACTGACTAAAACAGGAATACTGGTGTAGAAAACATTATAAGCCATGAGGCTGACAGAGTTGAAAAGGCTGGTACCAGAGACACCTGAAACGAAAGAGAAACTGAAGAGTCCTTATGTCAGTGCTTTGCATTACAAAAACATCCCTAGATAATAACAAAATAATTAGATTGATATATGAAATCAAGTGATTAAGCATAGGTCGTTCAAAGAAACTCACAAGATCTGGATGAAGCATATCAGTAAGGACTTATAGAATGAATACTGTGAAAGAAATGCGGTACGGTTATATGAATATCGTCCATGGACAAGTATCAGTCTTTTAAGGAACCTGAATTCTGCAAAATAACAGAATAGGATATGTCAATTATCGAATGTCAAGATAAAGCCAGGATATAACTGAAACAAGACAAAAAAAATTTATTTTTGTAGTTAAAAATACCAATCAACAAAATTTTACATTCTAAGTAATTCTAAGACATGCGAAATGATCAAACCCCTAATCCGCAAAATACCCTCATGCATTACAAAAGCAATAAGAACCTAAAAAATTAATACCAGCTGATGTTTCCTGGACAGAAAAACAAGCATATAGAAAAAAGAATGAAACAGAACAGTATGTCTTTCCTATGCATCATGTTTCCAATAAGCATCCAAATCCACATGAAGGTAAGTTTTGAGTATAGGTCAAAATCAATGTTTTCCCTCTAGTTCACATAAGAACATCTTACATCTACAACTAATATTGCCCACTATCCGAAAAGAGGAAAACACAACATTAATGTCATTCAATAATTTGTGGTAGAGTCAAATATTAGGCAAGAAACTACCTCGCTTCATCCTAACTCCTAAATGGTATGCTTGTCCAACAGTGCAAGTTTCACACCTATTCCCTAGATCAGCTTACAGTTCCCTAGGATAATCAGAGCAGACATAACTAGAAGCATCTCCTCTATATCTTGGTTGATATTTATGGAGGCTCAATCATATCAATCTAGCTCCTCATACTCGAGTGGAGATAGTACGTGACAAGGGTTTGTAAATTTTAGAAGTGCTGGGAAGAACATACTTTGTCCGGGCCTAAGTTCAAGACATTACTCTCAATTCAAAACTCCATAGACTAGCATGGCAAACATGTTTAAGTTAATAAGATCACATTAGAAGGTTGGGGTCTCAACAAGTGACGAGAAGACATAGAAACATGCTTAGGATGGATATAGTAATACACAAATAAAAAAACAAGTTATACTTGCTAGAATAATTGTTACTGAGATGTTGCATTTTGTATCTTGCATAGAAGCCTTCATAGAGGAGAGCCTGGCAGGATAATGGGCTTCTCAACCTCGCAGGGCCACCGCTTATTGCATCTTAACTAGCAAAGCTACCTTGGTGGATGGTACCAGATGAAACTCAAGGGTGGATGCAGAAGCACAACGAGGAATAGAAGTAAGAAGAGGGGAAAGGAGTACCACAGCATAGGTCATCTTCATGCATTTTTAGTGTTAAAGAGGATTCTTTTTCCAGGACATAAGAATTGTGAAGCATAGCAATTTCTTAAGATGAATTCCGAATAACACCAGCAGTCCAGAACAGGTATAACTTGGTAAGAGAAGTATGACTACTAATTAAGTTTTAGATCTTATATTATTGCCTTTCAAAAAAAAAAGTGCTAGATCTTACTCCCAATACTATAATCAGCTGCTCTTGCTGCTTGCAGTCCTTCTCTCCCACTTATGCCAACCCCAATATCAGCTTGTTGAATCATTCTCACGTCATTCCCACCATCACCAATGGCCAGAGTTCTGTAGTCACAAGATTTAAGGAGCTCTACAAGCTGCAAGACATGATAAATACAAAATTTAGTGGAGACCAAGGATAATTAAGCAAAACAATAAAACCACACATATAAGCTTGCAAAGCCTGCTTCCAATCTACGGTTACAAAAAGGCAAATTATACAACGAATTACTACTCATATCAAAACATCCCATTTAGTGATTAATATAAAAATTACAGCTTGCTACACAATGAATGAAAGTTTAAGATAAAGCCTATGAAATAAAATGTGATAAAGCTTAACAAATAAATCACAATCTCCAACACCCCCACTCTAATCAACTTTGCACCACAAGGAGCTTTCATGTGCTTAGCATTGACAATGGAAAGAAGCTACATCACACCATCAAAAACCAAATTGGAATCAAACACATAACGAAGGTAGCCTCTTTTCCTTGCAACATAATGCCCCTTCACAATTTCATGAGCATTAACCTCATGGTATTTGGGTACTCTTGCTACTTCAAGCCAAGCGTACTATAGGTTGTCAAATATAATGGGACACCCTTGCAAACCACATCAATGAGAAGTAGCCTTCCAATCCGCAACAAACAGAAGGTATCTTTCCTTTCCACAACCCTATTAACAAACCAAGCTTACGAAAAGAAATCATAAAAATCCTAAAATCCATTATCCATGCCAATAATTCAACATACAAATACAAAAATCAACAAGAGGTTGAATCAAAGTATGGAAACAATTTGTGACGAAAATTCCGAAAATGAGAAGTCACTAGGAGAGAAATGATTTTTGGTATGATTTCGTAGGATCACATTGATTCAGAAAGATTGTGGAGGATCCTGCAATATTAGGAAGGGTGCTAAGATTTACTGATATTTATTGTATTTTCTTGTATACAAAGGATGTAATACTTCAGTAATGAATATACACAGAGAATCAGAGATCATCTCTTCTCTTCCGAAGAAAAACTTCAATACCAAATCAGCAAGGAAATAGACATCAACTAGATAAGGTGAGTATTAGATAAATAGACTATTCTCTTTAATTGGTAAAGTACGCAATAAAATTGGTGCCCTAATATGTGGAGTAACTCACCAAAATAAGATCAGCAAAAAGTGGCATTACGTGAATGCCAAGAAAAAGATTTAAGGGCTCCTGCCAAGAAAAAGATTTAAGGGCTCCTGCCAAGAAAAAGGGCTCCCTCCCCACAACAACATAGAAAAAGTAGAGAAATTTGCATCTACTCACCTTCTGAAGGAACTGCCTTATTATAAAGAAGCAGAAGTCTTTCAAACCCAAAATTGGGATGGAATCAGCATCTATATTAGAGAGAGAAAAATATTCTTTAATCGGTGATATTTTAATTAATAGCCACTGAAGCTTCCTACCCCATCCTCAGCAAAAATTCTGTGCCAACCAAGTTAGTTTTAAGTCTATGAAAAATAAAAACCACTAGAAAAAGTTCAATGATTATGCCTCCATTCAGTAGAAATTTTGGATATTGTATTGTTTTTAGTCAAAAGCAAACTTAACTCGTGTTGCTATCTGGCCACCTCATTATTAGCAAATTACTTGCCTAAAACACCTCATCACCAAGCAAAGTCTGATTTAGTAAAATACAATTTTGTCACATACACCATTAGCTCGGATTTTAAACAGCAATACAACCATCACTCACATGCACGTGCCAAAGAAGTAACTAAATAGCAGAAGCATCAAGGACAGAAGCAAAACTAAACAAGAAAAGGTTGTCCAACCAAATAATACTACGTCAAGCCCCACCCCATTTTTTCCAATAAAATGCAAACATTTGAAATTGTGACCGAGCTAATCATGTCTGTAAGAATAAACAAAGTGCACCTGTGCCTTTTGTGATGGTGTAACTCGACAACATATAGCTGTCCGTGACAATATTGCTAATTCTGTGAATGCTTTCCGGTAATACTTCAGTGCAATTTCAAGTGCCCAACCATCAATGACAAAAGCCACATCCTGCAACAATGTAATAAATTGTGGTACTTTCTAATTAGATTAAACACATGCGGTATCATGTAAATTGCAAGAGACAAATGATCAAGTAAAGCACAAGACTTTGTAGAGATAGCGAGCACAAATGTAACTGAGAATTCATGGCAAGAAGCTCCATGCATAAGAACTAGCATACGCATCGACTCAATTATCCACGTTATGATGTGCTAAGTTGAAAATTCATGAAATTTATGTTGGTATTGAAGTAGGAAAGAGATAAAATCTTGTATGTAACAAAGTTATTGTTTAGAATAACATTAACACATTATATCAAGGATCTGATGAGAAAAGCTACAAAGTTATCATTTTGAAACATAAGAAATATGCTTCGTTATGGTGGGAGAACGTGAAATCCTAACGAGAATGAAATGGCAAGTATAAAGTCAGGTATGGGGGAAAACTAAAGAAGTTTCTCAAGGTGAGGTTCCTAACAGATTTATACAAGCAATATCTCAATGTCAAGATGACAAACTTCAAGCATGGTCATCTAACATTAATGATTATACCCCTGAATTTGAGAAACTTATATTACAAAGTGGAGTTAAAAAAAACGAGAACAAACCATAGGTCAATTATTAGTGGATTAAACAATGATGTTGCCGAGAAGCTTAAATTGCAACCTTATTGGTCCTTTGAAGAGGTGAGCAAGTTAGCATCTAAGATTGAAAATCGTGTGAAGAATAAGAAGACGGAAAGATCAACCCCCAATTTTATTTACAAAGGATAACTCATTAAAAAACCCATTCTGCAAGCCAGAAAGTCCTCTAAAAGGTGGAACCTCAATAAAGCAAGACAAAGGTAAGGTCCGGCTTTAATACACCAAAAATAAATGCTTCATATATCAAGGCTTAGGACACTTTCAAGCGGAATTTCCGAACACGCGAATCATGACTTTCAAACAGCTTAATGCGGTTATTGTTGTATAGGAAGGGGAAGACGAGACACCCGCCTATGATGAAGAAGACTACTTTGAAGAGAGAATTGAACTTGAAAAAAGGAGATCTTTGAATATATGGAGAGTACTCCATGCAAAAGAATTGATTCCTAATAATGAGCAAAGGGAACATATATTCCATTCAAGGTGCAAGATATCAAGGGGAGGTGTGTAGGCTTATTATTAACAATGGTAGTTGTGAAAGTTTGCAAAACTCGATACCTTCATCATTAACAGAAAATCCCTATATATAGGGTATGTACAAAGAAACCCTAWCGGCTATAATTAATGATAAATATAAATCAAATCCGTAATTATCTCTAACTAATATAATCGTAATTATCTCTAACTAATATAATCGTAATTATCTCCAACTAATATAATCAACCGG